ATGTTATGCAGTGGCCACAGAAGTCAGAAGAAAGCATCGGATCCCCTGGAACTGGAGTTACAGCTGCCATGTGGTTGCTGGGAATCGAACCCAGGTCCTCTGTAAGAGCAGCAAGTGCTCTTAACCATTGAGTCATCTCCAGTCCCCAGAGTTCTGGACTTTTAATGGGTTCCTGTGATTAGGTCAGAGAGATCATCTCCCTTCGGTAAGGTACTAAGTGCTATGTGATGTAATCTACTCACAGGAATATCATGCATCATATTTCCACTCCTAGGGATTACACAGAACAGGTACATCTCTTACAGTCGCTTCTCAGCCTTCCTTCTCCACCAGTATGAGGCTAGTGTCCCAGGCAGCACATATCTAATGAAGCCTATTTTTCCAGTGGAGAAAGTATACTCCAGAGGAAGTGGGAAGCACAGAAGCCTATGCCTTCTGGTTTCTGCCCACTTCCTCCCCTGGGAGACTCAAGAACTCCTGTGAACACAGATGTGTGTGTGTGTGTGTGTGTGTGTGTGTGTGTGTGTGTGTGTGTATACAGCAGCAGCACAGGGAGGTCACTGTGAAACATCACCATCAGCGTCAGCCTTGATGCTCTCCTGCAGGGTGATGGGCATCAGGACTGAGAAGTCAGTGACCCCTGGCACCATCGGGCTCTTCATTGCTGTCCAGGAGGACAAGCTGCTTGGGGTGGGGGGAAGAAGGATGGCGGTGGACAGGGCATGAGAAGAAAGTCCTGAGGAAGGAGAAGAAATGAAGAGAACAGGAAAGTGGAAGAGGAAGGAGCTGGAAAATGGGAAGACTGGGCAGAAAAGCAGCAGGAGAAGCAAGAGGTTGTGATGAATCAGGGTGATTGGTGGGAGTGGGGCTACCGCTGGTAGCTTCCCACTATGTTCAGGGGATGTTTTCAATCTGCCATCCGTTTCCCTCAGGGAACCTAGAACAAGCCAATGAGGAGCTGCGAGCCATCATAAAGAAGATCTGGAAGAGGACCAGCATGAAGCTGCTGGACCAGGTGGTGCCCCCTGCAGGCGGTACGTGCTCCCTGCATGCCCAGACCTTGACTTACTCAGCCTGTCCTCCAGCTGTGACATCATTAGCCCAGCAGACAGAACCCTCCAGACTCCCATGCTTGAGTCCACCGTGTTTCTCCGGACCTTTCTGGGGATTTAGAGCCCTGCCAGTTAGAAGGGACTAGAGTGTAATACCCTTCACAAGCTTGGATGCAGACTATCAGGTTAGAAATCTGCTACAATCCCAAATTCAGGTATGGGAACAGGCGAGCCCTTTGATGCATAGGGGATTAGTAGAACTCTACTGGGAACTCCATAATGTATAGATTCTCTGTAAGCCCCTGGGCTGACTGCTCTAGAATTGCTCTAGAGCTCTGGAAGGGGGACCACTGTGACATATGGTTCTTTAATGTAAGAATTAATATTTAATTGCACAGCACGGCTATACAAAATGTTATAGTAACCGATGAAATACCCACATGTTAACACTTAGAACAAATACCTCCTGAAAGGAAGCAACAATGTTGAATACTGTCAACACTTTGTATTTGTTATTGAAGGATGAACTGGGTATATTATTATATAAATAAGTTATTTTCTAGCTGTTACAGCATTTTAAGCATCTTTAAAAGTTGACCGACCCCTCCTATTTGAACCCCACTTCCAAAGGGGGAAACAAGGTGGGCTGAAGAAAACCATTTTCTGCCTAATGCCTTTCATATGGCATTCTATTTAATTCCTGCATCATTTCTATGAGGTGTACACAAGGCTCTAATGTTCTCACTGTTCCCAACTGCCTCCCTTGGCTATGCAGGTTTCCTGAGGAGTATACAGCAGTCTTAGGAGTCCAACTCAGGCCTGAGGGACCCTAGGACTCCAAGTTCATTCCTGGTTTCCCTGGACAAGGTCTCCAGGGTTTTCCTTCCTCTGTGGAAATGAGACCCTGCCAAATGGAAGGCCTATTACTGCTGTGGAGTTGGCCATTCTCAAGGAACATTCAACCATCTGTCCCTTTCTTTTTTAAAAAAAAATTATTTATTGTTTTTATTTTATCTGTACAAATGTATTGTTTGTATGTATGTGAGTGCATCTGTGTTGTGCAATGCCTCGGAGGTCAGAAGAGGGCATCGGATTCCCCTGGAACTGGAGTTAAGGACGATTCTTAGTTGCCATGTGGGTACTAAGAATTGAACCCAGGTCTTCTGCAGGAGCAGTCAGTACTCTTAACCTCTGAGCCATCTCTCTAGCCCTCCATCTGTCCTTTTTACATAGGACAGGAGACAAGGTAGAGGAGCCACTTGCTGGGCATGAAGCATTCCTCTTGGAGACTTACATTTTCCCTACCATCTGGGTTACTCCCAAGACAGAGCTTATGTCCTGGGTGGTCTTGTGTGCCCAGCTGAGCGAGGACACATGGTATAAGAAGGCAGTCTGCCCAATTTGAAGGGACATTGCTGACTTAAATAGAAGGAAGGCCTCCTACCACCAGCCCCTCTCACCCTTCTAAAAGCAGAATTGTGTTGGCAATTAGGGACTGGTCATTTGAGGACAAGTAGAATCAAACAAGTGGTGGTGATGTTCATTCAGGAGAGAAAAAGCAAGCAGCTTTGATGATACCCTATCGTTTCTGTGGAGAAAAATGAAAACACAGCCAGACCTAGGCAGCAGGATATATCTGCAGTCCCAGCTATTCAGGAGGGAGTGGGTCACTTGATCCCAGGAATTTGAGGCCAATCTGGACAAGAGAGGGAGACTTCGTCTCACATAAAAAGGAGGATATGAATATATTGGCTTATTTGCATAAATAATCTCTGGCAAAATACTCAAGGAACAAATAATACTGTTAGGTGCTAAGAGGTGCCTAAGTAAGCAGATGGGGGTGTGGTGAGACTTCAACATACACCTTTTTACATATATTTTTTCTCTTTTTGAGCTAAGAAATTAAAACTAAAATGTTAAAGAAATTTTAGATGCTGAAAAAATTAAAGAAATCCAATGAAATCACCTTATTTTCTCCTTTCCGTATGTCTCAGATGATGAGGTCACAGTAGGCAAGTTTTATGCTACTTTCCTGATCCAAGAGTACTTCTGGAAATTCAAGAAGCGCAAAGAGCAGGGACTGGTGGGCAAGCCCTCGCAGAGGAACGCACTATCCCTGCAGGTGAGGGGCGAAGGGAGGAGGCCACACCCAAAGGTCCTAGTCACCTCCCTCTGACCCTAGCCAGAGTCTAAGTCTCACCAGCAATCTGGAGGCCAGCTCCCTTCATAAGGAAACTTCCTGAACCTTCCCGAAAATGGATATGCATTCTTCCCCCATGGACTTCCTGCAACAGTCTTTCCAACCCCTTGGCCTCTTAGGATCTCTGCTCAGGTTCCTGGGATATCCCCTGATCTTTGGAAGTCCCATCATAGTAAACCTTCATCCCACCTGCATAAATGAACAGAATCTTCCACCCTAGGGTGAAAAGAGGGGTCCTAAGGAAGTTCATCTCCTGATGTGGATGACCAGCTGCTTGGTAGAAAAACAGAGAGGCAAGGGGTTTGGGAAGGAGCAACAAGGTACTGACTGACTGAGCTCAGTAGAAAGGACTGGGGTCTTCACGTGTCCCTCTGGGTTCCAGGCTGGCTTGCGCACGCTGCATGACATTGGTCCTGAGATCCGCCGGGCCATCTCTGGAGATCTGACTGCTGAGGAGGAGCTGGACAAAGCCATGAAGGAGGCTGTGTCTGCTGCCTCCGAAGATGACATCTTCAGGGTAGGTGCCACGAATAGTGCTCTTCTTGAAGTTCAGTTTGAAACAACAGAGGGCCTGAGCCTAGGAAGTCAAGGGGCAGAAGCCTGACCTCTCTGGCGGGTTCCACTTTCTTCCCTATCTGCTGACTCCCCTGCACTCTTTCCAAGCCACCTCCATGTCCTGTCATCCTCCCAGGAATGGCAGCTCAGAATATGACCAGCTTTCAGAAAGAGGGAGCCTATTTCTAAAAGGGAAGTTTCTCCATTTGAATGCATGGAGTGGGAGCTGCTGGGCCACATCTAATCTGAAAAACCTGTTTTCTTGGCCAGTATTTGAATATCTGGCACATTTAAGTGAAAACATAAGCGTCTGGCTTTTCTTGGAAAAAAGCACCAGGAGAACTGGCCACACTGGGTGTGGATCCTCATGTGGCAACTAAACAGGCAGTGGTTCCCAGTTAAGATGGACCAGGTCACATGGTCCCCTCCAGACCTCCTTTCCTGGAGTCTAAGGCATTGGGAAAAAATTGCACGGCTATGCCACAATGCAATACCCTTCCATCAGGCTCTCTCCCTTCCATTGCCTGCCCTACCCCAAAGGTATCTGACTAAAATTCCTTGTACAGCAAGTGAGAAGTCAACAGCCTTAGTTGTGCCAGGCCCCTGTTCTCACAGCCTCAGACCCCAGGTCTGGCTCCCAGTCTGTGCAGCTAAACCCAGCCCATCCTGAATCGCCAGTCTTGAATCATCATCCTTACTGCCATCACTGTCATCCTTATCCACCACTGAATGGTGTCAGGGACACAGAACCACGGTAATGCCACCCTCACAAGGCCCTCAAAGCCAAGACCAGTCACCAAGCCCAGGGACATCCAATCACCAAGAATTAAACAAACCTTGAGTACTTGCCCCTTTCTCAGGACAAGAAAGGAATGTTGGAGAAAAGCTCTTGTTCCTGACTTCAAATCTTGAAGAATCTCCTACAGGAAGCTATGATATAATTAATAGAGTAGATTCTACACTTTCATTTTCCAAAACCTTTGACCAACACAGTTTCTAGGTCCATGAACCAGTTTCATTTCCATTAAGAAAATCGAATCAGAATCTTCCTGTCCCCCTCCCGACCCCTCAGTGCTCACAGCAAGCTCTGCCAAGCTAAGCAATTGGCTGCTTTGAAGGACAGCCATGATTACTTGTCCTTGAAACCCAACCTTAGTCTCTAATGCTCCACTGGGAATTTCTAGGGAGGTTTCCATACCAGCAGCTTCCTGCCTGCCCAGAGTCCCACATGTGAGAGAATTCCAGTCTCTCGGCATCACCTGTCACTTTAGGGGAGCTGTGGAACCTTGGGTGTGAGGGTCCCTCCCTCTACTATGTGCCCAGAGTCTGTGCCTCTCTGAAGGGCAAGTTGGTTTCTTGTGTCCTATGCTTCCTAGCTACTGCCATACAAGGAGAGCGGAGAGAGAGTGAGAATGAGAGAGAGAGAGAGAGCCCTGAAGGTCCTTCTCCACCCACCTGTCTTTACAGAGGGCCGGAGGCCTGTTTGGCAACCACGTCACCTACTATCCAAGTGACAGCAGGAATACCTTTCCCCAGACCTTCACCACCCAGCGCCCACTGCATATCAACAAGACCGGAAACAACCAAGGTGACACCGAGTCGCCATCCCATGAGAAACTTGTGGACTCCACGTTCACCCCCAGTAGCTACTCATCCACTGGCTCCAATGCCAACATCAACAACGCCAACAACACTGCCTTGGGCCACTTTCCCCACCCCACCAGCTACTCCAGCACAGTCAGCACTATGGAGGGCCATGGGCCTCCCTTGTCTCCTGCTATCCGAGTACAGGAGGCAGCATGGAAGCTCAGTTCCAAGAGGTAAGCACGAAGTGGGCATCAGGGCCAGGGCAGAAGGCCTCACACACCCTAGCCAACTGATACCAGGAAAGAGGGACTTGGATCCCTAGGCCTGCTGCTTGGCCTTCAAGCTCCAAAGGAGGCTGTTGCCCCAAATGCTGTTATGAAGTTGGTGCCAGGTTGTCACCCAACCTGCTAAACCATGGCAAGCATGTTGTGTTCTAAGATGCCATGCCTCAGACAACCCCTCCTGAGCATGTTGACCTGTGACCTTCCAAGATGTGTGACTTGGGCCTGTACAACAGAAACCATTCCTCTACCCTTTCCCAAGTGTCTGTGTAAACCCGGCCTTTCATCCAGTTAAAGTCGGGGGATACTTCTCTGTAGCACTAGGGAATAATTCCTGGGATCTTGACCATGTCTCCTATGTCCTGGAGCATTTTCTCCCCACTGTCCCATGCTATGGGATACACCACTATGAAACCCTGGGACGATAGGTGCTGTAACTGCTCTCGGCCTTAAGGGAGTGTAGCCTGGGTCTCTGCTGGTTCCCTCTTTATCCACTTCAGAAGCTGAGCCACCCTGAGCCAGGGTGGGAAAGGACAGCCATTTGCATCTTGCCACATCACTCTTAACTAAACTTCTGCTCTTCCAGAATAGGGCTGTCATGCCCAACAGGCTGACCAGATCCCCAGTTCTTCGGTAGATTGCCTTTTGTCCCTCCCTCTGGCCAGAATATTCGGGGCTAAGGAGATGGCTCCACAGTTAAGATGACTGGCTGCTCTTGCAGAGGACCCAGATTCAATTCCCAGCATCCACGTGGCTGCTAACAACCATCCAAAACTCTAGTTCCAGGGGATCTGATGATCTCTTCTGACTTCCAAGGGCATTGTACAACACAGATCCACTTACATACATGCAGGAAATACACTCATACAAATAAATAAATAATAAATAAATAAATAAATAAATAAATAAATCTTAAGTATCTTTCTAAACCTCAAGTGCCCTGATGCTGTTACCACCCACAAAACAGCATGCTTACCCACTTGTTCTCACAAAATCCCATTCTTAGGTGGCTGCATGCAAGTCGCTTGGCCAATTCATTTCAATACCTGATGCCAGGCATGTCACTTTGGCCACCTGTCCCACCTACCATACTCTGCAAGACTAGCTGCTTTAACCACCCAACAGCAGTGTTGCATGAGCCCTTGGACTCAGGAGATAATATATATTAGCATTCTCCATGTGAGGGGTACTGAATTTTGTGCTTATCTGACAGGCTGGCTTAGCATAGGAGAATATTAAAATGAAGCAGTAGCCATTCAGGTTTTGGTGGCTCGACTCTTTTCTGAACCTACACCTCCCCCACTGTCTTTGAGGATTCAGGCTAGTCCTGTCTTTTCCTTTGCGTGCCTTGTCAAAATCTCTCGTTTTCTTTTTAAAATGTTATTTTATTCTTTGACAAGTTCTTACATGTATATATTTTTATCACATTCACCCCTGTTACTGTCTCTTATCCCTTCCCACTCTCACTGAACTATGTCTTCCCCACCACTGAAGATGACTCTCCTTCCCCTTCTCCAGCAACCATTAATTGCCAATAGCTCTTCATGGAGGTGGGGAGCCCCCTGAGCCCCTCCGCCATCTATGCTAGTACGTTGATGGGCCCAGTCTTATCCAGAGGACAGCAGACAGTGGTTTCATAGAACTCCTTCCCTCCCTCCAGCTTTTACATTCCTCTGCACCCTCTTCTGCAATGTTCCCTGAGCCTTGGAAGGGGTGATGTAGATGTCCCATGTAGGACTAAGCAATCTCTGTACTTTGACCAGTTATGAGTCTGCATTAACTGCTGCTTACTGCAAAAAGAAGCATCTCTGGTCAAGACTGAGAGGAACACTAATTTATGGGTGTAAATATAAATGTTTAGAAGGCAAAGTAACAACATGTCCACTCAGTGAAACAGCAGTAGCAGGTTCCCATAGGCCTAAGGCTTATGATCTCTCCAACCATGGGCTTTTGGTCAGGTTTACAGTATTGGTGACAATTGCCTCCTAATGGAGCAGGCCTCAAATCCAATCAGGAAGTGGTTGGTTACTTGCATAACAATCATGCCACAGTTGCACCAAGGGTCACATCTTGTTTGTTAACAGTATATAGGAAGGATATTGGTTTTTAAGTGTTAATTTTGTATCTGCCCACTTTGCTGAAAGTGTCAGCTCTAAAAGTGGCCTGGTAGAGTCTTTAGGATCTTTTGGGTATAGAATCAAAGTCATCTGGAAATAGGGATACTTTGACCTCTTCCTTTCCTATTGTTTTCCTTTTATTGATTCTCTTGTCTTATTGCTCTAGCTAAGACTGCCAGCAGTACATTTAAGAATGGTGAAAGTGGGGGCTAGAAAGATTGCTCAGTGGTTAAGAACACTGGTTGTTCTTGCAGAAGGCCCAGGTTCGAATCCCAGCACCCACATGGCAGATAACAACTGTCTGTAACTCCAGTTCCAGGGGATTCAACAGCCTCTTCTGACCTCCATAGGCATTGCATAACACAGTGCACTTACCTACATGCAGGCAATCCACACATACACATAAAATAAAAATAATAATTTTTTTTAATTAAAAAAGAATGGTGAAAGTGGGCACCCTTTTTGTGTTCCTGAATTTAGTGGAAATGCTTTGAATTTTTCCCCATTTAGTATCATGTTGACTGTAGATCTGTTGTATGGAGCTTTTATTGTGTTGAGATACATTCCTCCTGCTTCCAGTTTCCTCAGGACTTTTATCTTAAAATATTTCACTGTGTTTTGTCAAAACCTTTTCTTCATCTATTGAGATGATCATGTGATTTTTGTCCTTGAGTTCATTTATGTGATGCATTAATTTATTGATTTGCACATGTTAAACCATCTCCACATCTCTGAAATAAAGCAAGTTTGATCATAGTGGATGATCTTTATGATATGCTCCTGTATATGTTTCGGAAGTAGTTTGCTGAGACAGTTGCATCTATATCCATCAGTGATTGGTCTATAATTTTCTTTTGTGTTGTTGTGATAGCTTTATTTGGTATTGGTGCCATAATAATGGTGGCTTCACAAAAAAGAGTTTACTGATCATTCTTCCTTTGGTATTTTATGGAATAGTGTGAGAGCACTGGTGTTAGTTCTTCTTTGGCGGTCTAATAAAATTCACCAGTAAATCCATCTGGGCCTGGGCTTTTTTTAAGGTGGGACTTACTACTTAAGTTTCACTGTTTATTATAGATCTACTGAAATTATTAGTTCTTTCATCTCAGCTTAACTTTGATAGGTCATACGTATCTATATAGAAGTTCATCCACTCATTTCAGATTTTTGCAGTTTCTGAACTTCGTTGTCTGTTTTAATGCTCCCTTTTCATCACTAATTTTATTAGAGTCTGCTCTCTTTCTTTTGGTTAGTTTAGCTAAGCGTTTCTTGATCTTCCTTATCCTTTCAAGAATCAACCCTTTGTAAAAACTCTTAGGAAGGCTCTTTATGTCTGCCATTAGCATCTCGGTGTAAATCACATTACTGCCAAGATCGTCAAATTAAACCCAGTTCTATATTAAATAAGATTTTCAGGGAGGAGCTGTGCAGCAGATGACAGAGGACTCTCTTCTCCCTTAGCTGCATCTGTCAGTGAAACATCAAACACACACACACATGCGCGCGCACGCGCACACACACACACACACACACACATGCACACACACACAGCACGTCCAGCACAATGCCTGGCACATGGTAAAGACTCATTAAACACTCATTCCCTTTTCTCCCATTGCAATTAATACAAAGAGCACTGGCTGTGCTAACTTCAACCAAGTAAAGAAGAAAAACAGCCAGATTTTCTTCCTGTTTCCGTTCAAAGCTAAGGATGATGACTCCAGTGCTGGTATTGCTTTTGGGGGGTGGACCAGAATGCCCTGTACATGGATAACTCCCAAGATGTGGCGTTTCCTGCTTGCCTTTAGTTAATCCCATTGTACCAAAGCATCCTCTAAGCCTCCACCCCCATCCAGAACCTCCCACTTCTCATGTCGCCCTCTGATAGTTGACGCCAGCAAGAGAACTCTACCTTGGCCCTGACCATGCTCACAGGCCTGATGTCACAGTGGAGTGTCTGCTCAGCATTCAGCTCCAGGAGCTAAAACCAGGACTTTCCCAAATACCCTGATGGGCCAGAGAGAGTTGGCCTGCCATGCAGGGGCAACAGGGAGAGTAGAGGGAAGTACTGAGCCACACACAGGAACAAGAACACTTGACCAAAGCTAAAGAGGAAATGACCAAAGGGCTGGAGACCCTGTCCTGGAAGGGACAGCAGCCTACACAGAGGCACCTCCAAGTGTATGGGGGAGGGTAGATTTCTTTAGCTTGGGACAGGGCCAGGCTCAGCACAGACTCAGAACAAACCCTCTACATGAATTTTCCTCTCTGTGCCTTTACTTCAGGGTCAGAGCCAAAGACATCAAACATGATTCCAGGGACTTCTCGGTTGTGTCAAACAGCCACCCAACAGCCTAGCTGTCCACAGCTCGCTTATGGTGCTCTGCGTTATTGCACAGCCCAGGACTCTTTCACAGAACCAAGTCTTTTCCCATTTTCTCTGTGTGTTTGGGTATCTGTGCTCACGTGTGCAGTGGAGGCCAGAGATTATCTGTTGTCTTCCTCAACTGTTCTCCACTAAGACAGAGTTTCTCACTGAACCTGGAGTTTGCCAACTGAGCTAGACTGTCTGACCAACAAGCCCCAGGGATCCTCCTGGCTCTGCCTTCCCAGGGCTTAATTATAAGCACATGCTGCCATGCCCAGCTCTTTCATGCAGGTGCTAGGGGTTGGAATCAGGTCTGCATACTGCGTGGCAGCCACTTTGCTGACTAAGCCATCTCTGCAGCCCTGCTTTCCATTCCCCAAGGCACCATGTCTGCTGTTATTTCACTTGGTATAGCCTGTCTCTGAATCAGACAGGGCATGTTACTCCAGCGTTATAGAAACTGAGGCATGGGGTAGGCTAGTGGTCTTGGGGCCAGGTGGTAAGGGAGTTGAGGACAGAGTTCAGATCTCCTTGAATCCAAATAGAGCACCTTCTCCCACACAGTGCTAGTGGTATCTGTGGCTTCATCAGAAGCTGTGGGAAGGACTGCACCTCTGTGTGTGCTTCGTGTCATCTTGCTGAGGGAGGGGCAGGAAAGCTGGCAGCTCCTCATACTTTTCTCCACCTTGGACACTGCAGGTGCCACTCACGAGAGAGCCAGGGAGCCATGGTGAGTAGGGAGGAGGTATTACCAGATGAGACGTGCACGGTGCGGATCGGTGAAGATACTGAGTACTGCAGCGAGCCCAGCCTGCTCTCCACAGAGATGTGAGCCTCCTGCCCAGCCTACCCTGGGTATCAGAAAGGGTGGGGATGCAGGAGGGATGCTGAGATCCCTCCTCTAGGCCTATCAGTAACACACCCAGGATGCTCTCTGTAGCCTGGGTTTGGCATACTGCAGAACACTTCCAGGAAAACACATAAACATTGTTTCTTAAACTTTGGGGACTGTGATCAACAGTCATAAATGTATGCATGTATAATGATGCATAAACATTTTATGAAGCAGCTTCTTTGAAGGCTGCTCAGATGATGGCATAGGTGGCACACCCAGCAGATCTAGAGCCATCAAGAGGCTGTAATGTCTAGTCAGTAGGATCAGTGTTCTTGAGAGTCGCATAAGTATGTATTTTATGAATAACTAAAAGAGAGAACCTCAAAGGTGCCAAACACAAAGCAACGGTGAAAAGATGGAGATGCTCCATATATATTGTTTATGTCTATTGAATTATCACATTGTGCCTCATAAATATATGCTATTACATGTCAATCAAAAAATTCAAATGATAAGGAAATGCACATTAACTACGCTGACTTAGTCATTACGCTTCATCTACATGTGTCAAATGGTCACACCACGTGCCTCATAAATATTCAACTCAACTAATAATACTTGACAAAAATAAATAAATAAATAAAAGGACAACATAGGGCATAGCAAGTATCAGCATGTATCAAATGCTGTAAATGTAAATATTTTTATGAGGTATTTGTTTAATAGCCCAAATATACATTCAGCTACTCAAGCTCTTTGTAAAATATGTTCATGACTGTCACATACACCCCTTTTAAGAATCTTTCCTGAAAACAATTTATTGTGAGTATACACCAGCCTCTTAGGCATTTGAAGTTAAGAAAAGCCCAGATGGATAAACCGGGGAGACTTTACTGACTAGCTAGGAAGCTAAGAGACCAGAGAAGTGGGAAGTAATATGGACCTTTTCTAACCAGCTACCCACAGAGTGGTACCAAGGCTGAGGGGCACAGGCAGAGCAGGTCCGGAAGTAGCACAGTCGAGGTCACATACCGGATCAAACAAGTTGTGTGTGCAAAAGTGGGGATGAGTAGACAAGGAAAAACCTAATGCCTAGTGTGGAATGAAAGCAAGGCTGGGCAGCATAAGCATGTGAGCATTCCATCCCACAAATTGCCCTGCACATATATAATTCTTAGAATCGCTATGCTAGGTACAGGTGGATACAAAGAAAACAGGCTGCGTGGTGTCAGCCTTCAAGATATGAAGGGAGCTGCAGTGTAGCTCAGTGGTGGTGTGCTTGCCTGGCACGCTCGCTTACAGTCCTAGGCTTCATTCCTGACAATCAAGAAAACAAATAAAAAATAGACGTGAAAAAAAGACCGTTAGAGGTAGCAGCAGGAATAGTCTGTGGTCCCCTCTGCAGCACTGAGGGCTGGAGCATAGTTGTGTTTCTCAGACTGTAGACCGATCAATGGAGGTGGAGCGGGGAGGAATCATGAAATTACTTTAGTGGGTCCCAGACAGCATTCTTTGAAAAAATAGCACAGACTAAAGTAGAATAGAAATTTTCAGAGAGTGGTACATGCATTAACGGGAGTATTGAATTGGCTAGGAATATCTATGAATACAGGGGATATGTAAAATATGTTTCTCATTGCAAGGCACCATTAAAAGGTTTGGAAACGATTGGTTAGATGCCCCTAAGGTCTGCTGCTGGCCTTCTGTTCATGTTCTTGTGATGAAGGGATGACAGGAAAGGAAGGAATTAGGATAGGAGATGTTTGAGCTGGCATTGGGAATGGACATAGTGAACATCGTGGGTCTGCATACAGACATACACCCAGGTACTTCTGAGAGAATATTATGGACCTTGAAGTCTTTGTCCAACTTCCCCTATACCCAAGAGAGTCTCCACTACCTGAAATCAGAAATGTAAGGCTCAGGGCTAGGAGTGGAGCTCAGTGGTAGAGTGCTTTTCCTGGTGTGCATGAGGCCCTCAGTTCCAATCCCCAGCATATAAACAAATGCAAAACAGTTACAAGGCTCCTGCAAAGGGTGTGTGTGAGTGAAGAGCTGGGACCCTCAACAAGCAGGCCTATGGAACAACTGTGATGCCCAAGAGATGGGGAAGCCTTCTTAGCACACCCTGCTCCCTGCTCCCTACACCTGTCTGCAAGCACAAAGATGGGTGTTGTCCCCCCTAGGGAAAATGGAGACTGTTTTCTATGGATGGCAGCTGTGGGGGGGGGCACTTCAAGCTCTAAGGGTTCTCTGTTTCAGGCTCTCCTACCAGGATGATGAACATCGACAACTAGCATCTCTAGAGGAGGACAAGAGGGAGATCCGGCAGTCTCCAAAGAGGAGTTTCCTTCGCTCTGCCTCTCTTGGTAAACTCACACCTTGCTCTCCAAATATAGCCAGCTCCTACACGGCAAGATACCCAGGGACAACTGGGAAACTGTTTGGGCAGAGCTCAGGCAACCTCTAGAGACAACCTAGTAGATATGCAAAGCAACAAGAGAATTCTGAAGACAGACTTTGTTGGGGTGCAACATAGACTTAGGCCACTCAGTATGTCTCAGAAATAACTTGAGAGATAAGAGAGCTTACAGCCACTGACATGAACCCTTGTACCTCACCAGAATATGAGCTGGTTTCAGTCAACTTTCTGTCACTGTAATAAAATACCTGAGATAATCAACTTAAAAACAAGAAAGACTTATTTGGACTCACAGTTTCAGAGATCTCAGCTCATTACTTTTGGGCCTGTGGGAAGGCAGCACATTATGGTGGGAAATGTCCCCTCTGCCTCCTGGCCAGGAATATAAAAGAGAGAGAGACCAGTATCTCATTATGTCTTTCAAAGGCAGAGCCTCAGGACCAGAAACCTCACATGAGGCTCCACCTTTTAAAGAGTCCACCACCTTCCAATAGCACACATTTCAACTAAGCCTCTAATACATGGCCTTTGGTAGACACTGCAGATCCAAACTGAAGCAAAGCTGTCACTACACCTATCTGCAAGCACAAAGATGGGTGTTGTCCCCCCTAGGGAAAATGGAGACTGTTTTGTATGGATGGCAGCTGTTGGGTGGGGGGGCACTTCAAGCTCTAAGGGTTCTCTGTTTCAGGCTCTCCTACCAGGATGATCAACATCGACAACTAGCATCTCTAGAGGAGGACAAGAGGGAGATCCTGCAGTCTCCAAAGAGGGGTTTCCTTCGCTCTGCCTCTCTTGGTAAACTCACACCTTGCTCTCCAAATATAGCCAGCTCCTACACGGCAAGATACCCAGGGACAACTGGGAAACTGTTTGGGCAGAGCTCAGGCAACCTCTAGAGACAACCTAGTAGATATGCAAAGCAACAAGAGAATTCTGAAGACAGACTTTGTTGGGGTGCAACATAGACTTGGGCCACTCAGAAATAACTTGAGAGATAAGAGAGCTTACAGCCACTGACATGAACCCTTGTACCTCACCAGAATATGAGCTGGTTTCAGTAAACTTTCTGTCACTGTAATAAAATACCTGAGATAATCAACTTAAAAACAAGAAAAACTTATTTGGACTCACAGTTTCAGAGATCTCAGCTCATTACTTTTGGGCCTGTGTGAAGGCAGCACATTATGATGGGAAATGTCCCCTCTGCCTCCTTGCCAGGAATATAAAAGAGAGAGAGACCAGTATCTCGTGATGTCTTTCAAAGGCACAGCCTCAGGACTGGAAACCTCACATGAGGCTCCACCTTTTAAAGAGTCCACCACCTTCCAATAGCACACATTTCAACTAAGCCTCTAATACATGGCCTTTGGTAGACACTGCAGATCCAAACTGAAGCAAAGCTGTCACAGGCCAATGCCATCACCTGCTGCTCTGATTCTGAATCTTTGCTGGTTTTGCAGGTCGAAGGGCTTCCTTCCACCTGGAATGTCTGAAGCGACAAAAGAATCAAGGGGGAGATATCTCTCAGAAGACAGTCCTGCCCTTGCATCTGGTTCATCATCAGGTATCCACACCTGTGGACAAGCCACTGGCCTCTCTTTTCCCAGGATGATGGCAGATCCCCCAAGATCCCCACCTCCCTTCCCTGTCTCAGACCTCTGTACTTAACTGCCCTTGGGTAGAGCTGTCCACCTCTGCTGTCAGCAGGTCTGTAATGCTGCAAGGTGGGGCCCTATAAAATTCTGGTGAGCAAGAGTCTTCTTGTGATTCTGACTGGAAGCTACAGGATTCCTGGGCATTCTTCACACACTGGCTTATGCCGCATGCACTGAAGAAGATGTGATCATGTCTAAGGTTTGGTGGGACGGAACTTGGAAGCTGAATTCACCGGTCCATCCACTGCAATGCAGAAATGGTGGATGCACCTGCAACACCATGGTTAGGCGTAGGGAATGCTGGACATAGTGGACATAGTGGTCCATGATGATAATCACAGCACTCAAGAGACTGTGGCAAGAGGATTGAGAGTTTAAGACCAGCCCTGAATTGGCCAAGAAAACAAAAAACAAAACAATGGAAAAAGTAGAAAATGTCATCAAAGGAGGGCAGACCTGGGGAGACTCGTTAGATGGAATATATCCTAGCATGGCACAGCTGAGATGTGAAATCAAAACATTAGTATCACACATATTCTGAGTAACTTAGAATAAGCAGAAAGTTCAGACTAAGGCCAGTCATATCACTGCTGGGCAAATGAAGTTCCAAACGTGCATTCCCCAGACTTTTTACCTTTTAAATTACAAATTCCCTTTCTATAAGCCTGTGCTTTCAGTGTGTGTGTGTGTGTGTATGTGTGTGTGTGTGTCTGTGTGTCTGTGTGTGTGTGTCTGTGTCTATGTGTGTCTGTGTGTGTGTCTGTGTCTGTGTGTCTGTGTGTGTGTCTGTGTCTGTGTGTCTGTGTGTGTGTCTGTGTCTGTGTGTGTGTCTGTGTGTGTGTCTGTATCTGTGCATATATAACGCCTGTGTGTGTATCTCTGTATGTCTGTATATATTTGAATCTCTCTATCCTCTCTATCTGTGTGTGTGTCTGTGTGTGTCTGTGTCTGTATGTCTGTGTTTTCTAAACTGATATCACTTTTCTTCAAAGGCTGGCTGGCACACTGCCAGAACTTTCCAAAGATTGGAATGCAGCTTTATGCATCCCTTAGATCTCCAGGACCCCAGAAGCTGGGGAGGGGGACGAAGATGTGGGGACACTGTGCTATTTTAAAAGGTTTCTCCCATTTAGTTTTGCCCATCTGTTTTTATGCTGGTTGGTGAGAAAGTTTATTTTTAGGTTCCTCTTTTTCTTTCTGCCACCTCCCACCTGTCCTCTCTGTCGCTCAGAGCTGAGCTTTCCCACCATACAGTGTTGCTCTTAACATCCATCACATCTGAGCAGTGGACATTGCTGAGAACGTCCTGGTGACCATGACGATACAGGCTGACTCCTATGATGCTCAGGAGCATTTAGAAACAGAGAGGGCAAACATGCAAATTGTTCAATTACGATGCAGTGTACAATAAACAAGAGTTCAAAACAGGCTGAGCTGGAGATTAGAGTATGTTATTAATGAGTTGGTTCACAGTAAAAATTGAAATAATAACTACTGGGTTTATCTAGGTCTTTATGACAGGCAGGTATTTCATGAGCCTTATTTCACCTGACTTCCCACTGATCCTATAGATAACTGTATGGAGAGAACGTGGGTGATATTCTGGCTCTGTGGATAACATAGCGTCACTGTCCTCTCTGTTCTGATAAGAAAACCAAGAGCAACTGAATGCAGAGATAACAGTGGCAGAGTCAATCTAAAACAGAAGGGCCAGGCTGCCCTCAGCTGCAAGGTTCTGAAGCTGGAGGGAGACTCCAGCTTCAGAACAAAATGTACTTAACACCTATCTGGAGATTATTGAGTCTTACACCGGGGCTCGGTGAGGTAGATAGGATTCAGGCTTCATGAATTCCAGGCAGGGGGAACTCACTGGAAAATACTAGCTGCAAAGCTGCAAAGCTGCACAGAAGACAGAGGACTGACCCCTCCCAGTAACTCTTGCTTCTTCTGTCCACAGGCGTTGGCAGTGGCAGGCTTGAGCCCCCTCCTACAGAGAAGCCATTCCCCTACCACATTCCCCAGGCCATGCCCCACGCCCCCTGTCACTCCAGGCAACCTGGGCAGGCCCCTGCAGCCCATCCCCACCCTACGGCTGGAGGGGGCTGAGTCCAGCGAGAAACTCAATAGCAGCTTCCCATCCATCCACTGCAGCTCCTGGTCTGAGGAGACCACTGCCTGTAGTGGGGGCAGCAGCATGGCCCGGAGAGCCCGGCCTGTCTCCCTCACTGTGCCCAGCCAGGCTGGAGCTCCTGGAAGACAGTTCCACGGCAGTGCCAGCAGCCTGGTGGAAGCGGTATGTGAGACTGAACTCCTGGGAAGGGAGAGGCCCCAGGCATGGGCCTTTGGTGTGGAGAAGGAAGCACCTGACCCTTTCCCAAGTAGACTGGGTGTCAAATGTGTGAACCCGAAAGACGCTTCAGAAAAGGGCCTGGTCTTCAGAAAACTGCAACTGTGACTGTACAAGGTGCTGGCCGCTGGGTGTAGTATAGAGAAAGAAGCCCTTAGCAGTGAATCGTGGACCAAGGAACCCCAGGAAAGGCTGAGCCTGTTCCCAGGGCCATTCATGCTGGGGCTGTGTTTCTGCAGAGGATCAGGGTTCAGTGTGCTCAACTCTGACTGCTCAGGAGAATCACCCAGCGATTTGCAAACTTGCCTATTGAAACTGGCATTTTAATGCTTCTAGCCATTCTAATGCATGAGTGCCAAGTGCAGGGTGGCAGTTTCTTCTCCCAAGACCATTCCTCTTCCTCTCCTAAAGAGACATTTCAGTGCCACTGTCCTCTGCCCTTGCAGAGTATCTACTATAATCCTGGCACTACATTTTAGGGGCCTTTGACAAATTGAAACAAACCCAAGAGAGGCTAGCAAGGTCCTTAGAAACCATCTCATAGGTGAACTGGAGGGAATTAGGGAAGCAAACCCAGAGAGGCATTAAGAGGTGTGACACCCAGCACTGATGGGGAGCTTGAGGACCCGTTAATGTCCTGAGCAACCGAAGACCTTGCCAACACAGCTCTCCCCAGATGAGGGGACTGTTTTCTAAAGAACTCAGCCCCCGTCATTGAACATGCCAAGCTGAGACAGCGTCTGTCCTGTGGTTAGACTGCTACAGAGACAGGCTCAATCCATGTTCTCTCAGATCCCTCCCAGCCCTGCAGCGCTGATGCTTCAATTGAGCTTGGTGGTCATTCATTTGTGAGAAGGGACCACCCTGACTCTACCACTTCCTCCTACCCCTTGGCTCAGGGAAGCAACCTTCCCCTTAGCCAGTCTCTAAGGCAGCTGCAGGCAGGGTAGAGAAGTGTTGGGGGTCAGTCACCTGTGGCTTTCCTAAACAGAAGCAGAGGCAAGTGCATGCTCCCTGTTTTGCAGTCTATGCAAGGATACAAAGCCTGGGAAAGCAGATAGAGGCGCATGCTAACACTACCACTATAGGAAAGTGAAGGCTTCTTGGAAAGAGCGCTAGGAAAGATGCTTTGGGGGGCAGGGCAGGGAAGAGAACAGAAAAGAGCTGGCTGAGGTCTGTCTGTGCCAAGCACAGCAAAGCAGGGCAGCCCCTCTGAACCCATGTTTCTCTTTAGTTGATGACAGTCCTTCTTCCATCTGTGCATGCTCACTTCCCATGGCCCACATGCCATCTCTACTTTCTCAAGTGTCCTTCTCAGCACACAAACATGCACACTCACCCATACATGTGCATATATATGCACATGCCTGCATCATACATGTGCATACCTCTACACACAAATGCACAGACACACTCTCTCATTCACAGTTTCCTGAAATTTCCAGTCTGCGCCCCCATCGGCAGAAGAGTGGAGCGCCATTGACCATGGCCCTCCTCATTTTCTTCATACCCTCCTTTATTTCAGGTCTTGATTTCTGAAGGACTGGGGCAGTTCGCTCAAGATCCCAAGTTCATCGAGGTCACTACCCAGGAGCTGGCTGATGCCTGCGACATGACGATAGAGGAGATGGAGAATGCCGCAGACAACATCCTCAGTGGGGGCACCCAGCAGAACCCCAATGGCACCCTCTTACCTTTTGTGAACTGCAGGGACCCCGGGGAGGACAGGGCTGGGGTCCCGGAGGACGAGAGCTGTGCATTTGCCCTGGGCCGGGGCCGCAGCGAGGAGGCGCTCGCGGACAGTAGGGCCTTCGTCAGCAACCTGTAGACCCCAGGGCTGGCAAGACGCGGGTGTTTTTTATTCGTTTCAATGTTCCTAATGGGTTCGTTTCAGAAGTGCCTCACTGTTCTCGTGACCTGGAGGTAACCGGAACAGCGTCTTCATTCACTGCTGTCGGGACAAGCCTCAGAGTTGGGCGGTGTGCAGAGTCGGCTTTTCAGGGGAGGAGGCCAAGGTCTCGGGGTGCAAGGCTCCAGCACCTTCCCGAGGCAGCACCGCCCAAAGGACCCCGAAGCAAAAGGGTGTTTTCACCTTGCTTGTATAAACAGTCATTTGCACATGTTCTGTCTGAGCCTGGCTGTCTCCGTGGAGCCAGGGCCCCGGGTTTTGCGGAGGGAAGGGGCCAGCACCCCCAGCAAGGGCTGTGGAGGGCGAGAACGAGGCTCCTGGGTGCAGGCCTAGCCCAGGTCGCCCTGCAGGAGCCAGAGCTACCCAGGGGCTGGAGCTAGGGTAAAGGCACCACCCCCGCCCTCAGCTAGCCAAGCCAGGGGGTGCAGCCTGCTGCTGGGCGCTCTGGATTACACGGTTTGATGGGTTTCTTGTCAGCATGTTGCGGTTTTCTGGGTTTTGGTTTCTTACTTTATTATTATTTTATTTGATGTGCTTTCCCACGCGGAGGGGAGGAAGAAGAGCATTTACAATTGCGCATCCACACTGTTACCACTTTTGCGTATGTAAGTCAGATTTGGTTTTACTATATTCTTTAAATGGTGCGGTTTCCTTTCCGTTTTTTCCTGGAGTGAGGATTCAATGGAAATCACCACAGGAGAGTTTTACTAACTTCTCTGTGTGCCCAATAACTTGTTATGATTTCTTTAGGTGGCAGCCTTTTTTTTTTTTTTTTCTTTCTGGTTTGGTTGAACTTTATAATTCCCAGGTAATTGGCAATGCGCTTGATAAGTTGTTGCACACTTGGGCAACTGAACTGGGCTCCTTTCTATGCTGGGTGTGTGGGTAGATTCAAGAGAGAAGAATCAGAATCTGTGTGTCACGTGTGTCCGTAGCGGGCCATCTGTGTGTATGTGCACCCACACAGTGTGCCCATACACACGAAGGATGGATCCCCCTTTCTGGTTTGACTGCAGGGAGGTCTGAATCTGGGGCTACCTGAAAACAAAACAAACCACTGTCTCTGCTTCTGCTTCTGAAACGAGAATCAGTAACTGCATTTTCTGTCCCACAAGATATGCAAAAACAATGCAATAATATTCATTTTAAAAATACAGTTGTGAGTTGTGTCAGCATTAAAATTATATTTTAAAAAAAAACACAAAATTTAAGGGAAAAACTCAAGAAGACATTTTGCTTCAATATATTCCGTGTAATGTTTTATTGCATTGATGATGTTTCTGTTGAAGAAACTGTTATACTTGAATTCAGGTCAGTTTCAGTATTTTTCAAATATTTTTTTAAAACTGAATTGCAATTGTGCCAAGCGAATATAATGACTTAAGTTTGTTTTAAAATTCACTTCTTGTATATTTTCCTGCATGTAAAGTAAATCATTTTGTATTTGGAGTGTGAGAACAAGCTTTACCTTTGAACTCGTAAGTGCTTTTCTATATGTGGTTGGGGAGAAGATTTGTTTTTCTTTAATTTGCAAAATGAACAAAAGTGTACCCAGTGTAAGTCTGTACTCCACTTTCCATGGGCAGATTTGGACAGTACCGTTTTGCATATCTTGTGTTTTATTTCTGTTTCCCTTAAGCTTTCTAAGACCTTTGGTAGGAATATCTGTACAACATCTTGCTTTGAAAGATTAGGACATAGTTCATCCAGGTCTTCACCTGCTGCCTTCTACTGCAGTTCTGTGATGGATACTTGTCCAACAGCAGCATCAGCCCCTGTGGAAGAGGTAGCTGGCTTTCCCAAGCACTCCCACAGCACACACTTCTGGACTGAGAGGGTCAAGTGAAGAGGCTGTGAAGTGGCGGGACAGATTTTGACCCATGGTCTACCCAAACACAGATACCAGGGGCTAGAGAAAGGTGACTGGGTGGAACCTTAGTCCTTCTAGAAGCTACTTTCTGTGGGCCTTTCTTCATCCTTTCCTTCTTCTAACACAGGAAGGCAGTGAAGGAAGGGATCTTGACAAAGGAGGGAGCATCTGGATCTCACAGGGATGGAAGTAACAGATGATGTAAGGGTCATCTCTTAGGCTCATCCGCATCTACCTTCAGCATCCCTTATCACTGGTGCCAGGTTCTTCAATTGTGTCAGCGATGATGATTGAAAAGAGAGTGCTTTGGGGAAATAAGCCTCAACCCTTCATCCAACCTTTTTTTTTTTTTTATTACCTTAGCTTGCTAGAAATTCCAGAGAGGGGCAGTCTATTCCTCGATGAAGATGAATCTACTTCCATGGGCTGATTCATGAAAATGCATAGATATGCACCCAGTGCTCCCAGGTTAGGTCTAGCAGCAGTGTTTCTTCTTGGATTTCCAAGCACCATCCATCCAACATTTGTGCTTCCTTTGTGGTACCAACAAGGGCTTCTAGAAATTAAGGCAACATGCCATGCCATGTCTGTTCCCCAAAGTTCTACCACTGTACTGCCGAGACTTCAGTTTTGTTGGAGAGAGGGCCCTTTCGACTAGATATCTGGTTTTTTAATACATTTAGCCCCTAGGGAAATGTGGGCTTTTGACTGACCCTACACCTAGGCATACACACTCTGCACATTCAGTCGTCTCATGATGCCTTCTGTTTTCCTTTGGACCCTTTAATTTCCATTGTCAGGTTCTATCGGCATATGCTGTAGGCTGAACTCCAGCCAGCCACACCCAGGGCTCTGCCCAATGTGGTTCCCTCACCCTTCATCAGTCACCCACAGGCTGCCTTTCCTCGATGGCCACGAAGACCAGAGTAGCTTTCATTCATACCCCATACCCTGCAAAAATGACATCTGCAGGCATTTACCCTTTGCCTTTTGTTACTAGATGGAAACAAGGTACAGTGGATGGTGTGTCTTTCACAGCTTGATTTCAAGACTACCTACTATAAGATTCACATGTGCTCCCTGGCACCAAGACAGAGTTGAACAATGAGTGGCAAAGTCAGTGGACATCTTCACTAGACTGTCCACTCTCTACCTAACATGGAATTTTCCCCATGACTGTGTCAAACATAATCATCAAACCTTCTGTAGTCCTCCGACACTCTGAATGGCAAGAGAATCAACCCATGGCTGAGGGCCAAAGGTTGTGAAGGACTGTAGATCATGTGCTTATTTGGAAAAAGTCCATTTTCATTTGTCCTCTGACTAGCTGTCTCTTTTCTTTCCCTGATCTTTTAGTACCTTTTCATGTGCATGGCCATATTACGCTGACAGACCTCTGGTTGTCTCCCTTCTCCCTGATCCTGCAAGGCCCTTTGTGTCTTCAGGTTAAAAGAAAGCGGCTTTCCTCAGGTCAAGGTTGTATCTTTTACTCTTCTCTGGTCCCCTGGTTCTAAATTCTAGATTTTTGCATAGAGGGAAGGTGCATGTTCCTTTCTTCCAGTCCTCGACCATCCAGAGCTCCTGATGACCCAGCTGAACCCAGTAGGCAGCCACTGGAGTCCCCTTCCTATACTAACATCAGCATGCTTCTGAGAAGTAGGAATGAGGAATACTCTGGGAGTCAACAGAAGGAATGTGGTTGTTTTACAAAGGCCAGGTGACACACTACCACTACTCCTAAAGAAAGATAACAGGAATCCAGGTCAGGTATGGGGTAAAATCTGGCCATCGGGGTTTTTATGCTCATTAAGGCCATGCTGCAAATGGTGTCAAAGAGGATGGTGGCCCTTCCACCCTGCGACCTGGAACGAAGTGTCTTCATTTAGGAACTAGAGACAATTCAACAAAGGGCTAAGAAAGAATTGTCTGACCTTCAGAAAAGCCACTCAAGCCTCAGGGCAGACAAAACTTGCTGTGAGTGTTCTGGCTGATTCTACTTTTCCACAAAGCCCAGCTCTGGGGCAAGTGTCATCACAGAGAGAACCAGGGGGAAGTAGGAGTCAGGAAAGGCATGTCTTGACCACTCAGAGTCAGTTATGTGGAAAGCAGCAGTTACCCCATTGCCAGCCTTGGGAAGAGGCTGACGGGCTCCAGAATCTGCTTTGGAAGATAAGAAAAATGAACTCTAACCCTAGGTGTTTTCCCAGCCAAATCAACCCAGCAAGATGGATCAAGGAGTGGCCTTGCCCTACTGTGTGAGGCCCCTCCACGGTATTTGCCAAAGAGCCCCATTGGGAAGTAAAGAGGCCTGGGTCTCACAAAGCCCATATTCTCCAGCAGCTGCCTGTGGAGAAACATCTAGAAAGTCCAAGGGAAAAGGTGCCCTACCTATGATGGGCAGTAACAGGCAATCGCCCCCTCCATAGGCATTTTCTGTCTCCTTCCTCCTTGAGCCCAGGGAGGGGGACAGAGAGTTGGAGGGAATCCTTTGCAGATTCTTAGTTTATTTGTAAATCTACTTCCGGTTTTCACTTTATTATTTTTCAAAACAATGAGACATCTGTGGTGTCTAGAACCAAAATAATAGGTCAGAAGGTTTCTGCCAGATCTCCACATCGTTAGGGAGACAACTGAATGCCACACACACCCCAACACACATACATACACACACACACACACACTCACACACACGCACATAGAGTAAGGCACAAGTACTAGGGTTGATTTCTACATAGTGATTTTTTTTTTCCATAGAAGGGGAGAACTGGTATGTGTATCAAACCTGTGCCTGGTGGCCAGGGCTATCCTAGAACAACTATGCAGCCAGTATATTTGCAGGTGATGTCATATTGAAATGTCAAAGTGTGGGCATCCCTTGAGGGACACCTGGAGAAAACTAGAGCAACTTCCTTTGGTGGAAAAGGTACTAGTATTCATCAACAGTGAAAAAGTGCTACCACTTCTAAAACTCTTCCTTTTCCTCCAACAGTCTTAAGAGGTTTGAGTCACACAGTACATGAAGTAGTAAAGAACCTGGCCTTCCTGGTATCTTAGAAAAACCTTTTAATCTATCTCTGAAAGGGAATTAGAGAATGCAGTTGAATATGTCAAACATTACAAACCAATACTGAGAACAGAGTCTGAGTTGAGATTTTTCTGTTACATTTCTCTTGGGTCTCCACTAACAATAAGGAAGACAAAATCAGATAAAATTCAATGAAAAGTTGAAATGTCACATCACCAGAGTCAAATCCTGTGTGTTCAGATGCTCACTGCTTTAGAGGTATAACCTCATCCCCTGTGGGGCATTTCATGCACCCCAGTTTTCAGAATCTAAATGATTTGATGTATAAAGCTTCCAGAATAGGTAACATGCTGCTTAACCTGGCATAAACCAGAGATTTACTGCCAATTCACCTAAAAACTCACTCGTGCAACTTCTGGCAGGGTCATTATCAGAGATGACACTGAGAGAAAGTGGGTGCAGAAACTCAAAGGGTAATTTCTTTTTTTTTTTTTGCTTTTTTTTTTTTGCTTTGCCTTTTTTGTCGGGGCAGGGAGTGGCTGATGCTGTGGGTTGAGCCTAGGGCTTTGTGGATGCTAGGCAAGCACTTTAGCTTTTATTTTGAGACAGGGTTTTATTAAGTTGCCCAGGCAAGCCTTAAACTCACTGTGTAGTCCAGGCTAGCCTTAAACTTTAGATCTTCCTGCCTCAGCCCCCCAAGTAGCTGAGATCCCCCGTGAGAGAAACTCTGGAATGTCTACAGGCCTATGCCACTAGATATGACTCAGAGGATAATTTCCAAGTGAGGAAATGCAGAAATGGTCTTGGAGAGTCCCTGTGCCCGTATTCTGAGAGCCCTCAAACTGGCAAATATGGAAGGAGAAAGTAAGTAGGCACCAGGGAAAGCTTGGCCTGGAAACTAAAGGTGAGGGTCTAGATGCCATTGGTGAAGTCTCTCCTAAGCCATTAGCCAGGAGAACAGGAAAAGAGACTCCTTCTTGTAGTCAGGAGGAATACAAGTGGATGGGCCTCTACACCAAGACTTCCCAACATGGAGAAGCCACACCAAAGTTAAGCTAGGGGGAAAGCCTCCAGAATTAAGGACAGATGATTGGAAGCTCTGTGCAGAAAGCTCCTCAGAAGACAGCACAGTGATCCAAATAGAGTGGACACCTTTCTGTTCTCACACAGCACATACCCACAGCTGCATACCATCCCCCAGACTCAAATCCCACCTCTCAGCCCTCCTACCAGACCACACACTCCTGTCCTGTCCTGTCTGAGCACACGCCATCTGCCCACTGCCCAGAAATAGGCATGGGTGACAGAGAATACCTGGGTTAGACACATCTGTTGATAACTGTCAAGAACAACCTGTGGAAAAACAAGTCCGAGAAATAAGGTGGCAGATCCCCTGTGAGTGAAACTCTGGAATGTCTATCACTTTCGGAATATTGCTCTTTTATTTTAATCTGCCAGTGCTACTAAGAAAAACTTTCTTCCATGTAAAAGGGTCCAGATAAAGCCCGTCCTTCCCTCCGTTCCCCATGTCTCTACTCAGTCCACTTTTATGTCCCCAACGAAACCTGTGTCATGTGCTGTGCCTGTTCCCAGAGAGGCATGGAAAGACGGGCAGGCTTCTACGTCACTCATATCCACCTGCACACCCCACACCTGCCCCTCCAGGCTCCACGATACCACAGTCTGACTGTTGTAAATACTGTTGTACAGTTTGTAATCATCAAATAATCCTGTTGTCAAAGGCCCTGCCTGCTGCGCCTTCTCCCCCTTGAGCAAGGCCAGGGAATCTAGAAGGGAAACTTCCAGGAGAGACTCAGGGTCATCTCTGCATGAGACGCTGCTGTATATTCCTGTAAGATTGCATTTTTATCTAAGGAATGATGTTATTTAAAAAACAAACAAAAACGCAAAAAAGAATTGCAAATAAATTTCTTAACAACGTCTCCCTTGGTTTAATCGGTATCTCCCTCTTCCGTAACCCTCCTTTCCCCCCATTTCCTGCAGGTCACAGAAGTAGACTTAACCTTCAATATTTCCATTGCTGCAGATCCTCCAAAGTGGAGCAAGGTAGAGCGAGCACAGGGCATCTGAACCTAACCATGATACCTAACTGCATGAACACAGTCAATCCACCTCACTCTGTACTTACTCCTTTCGATGGAAGGGTCAACAAAAATGGCCAAAGGTTGACAAAGAGGCAGAACAGGAGGTATTACGTGGTTAATCCAGAAAACAGAAAAACTGTATTCTAAATAATTGGTTTTGAATGAAGGAAAGAAAGAGGGGGGAAGAAACTGGGGGAAATACAGTGGCATAGAAAATACCTTGAAGTTTATAAAATGCAGGTTTTGGGTGTTATAACCTAAACTGGCTCAGGCAAAGCTTCCAGAATAATTCCCCATGAAAAACAAAATTGTTCAGGGGATTCTGGGAAGAGAACAGAGTAAGCCATACCAGAAACCTGCCTCCTGCCTAGACAACAATTCCTCTGCCAGACTGTGTTTCAGAACTGTGGAGTCTGTTGAGGCCTTGAAACCCCAAAAGGAATGTTTGAATAGAACAGTTAAACCTCCTTTGGTCAAGTTCTGCCCCTGGCAGGCAGCTGAGCACTTCTTTCAGAGCACTGGCCTGGAGTTTGTGGGAACCACAGTGGACAACACAGCAGATTTTTCCAAATATCAAAGACCTGTGCTCAGAACAGAGATTTCTTCTTCTAATTACAGAAGGGCAAACCAAACCCAGAAGCAGAAATCACTGTTGTTGACCCATCTTGGCTGGCCTTTTCCCTATCTAACTGACGTGAGTTCTTGAACACTTACAAAGTCTCCTTTTGGAAACCAAACATTAAAGACTAATTAATACATTCAAAAGCAACTGTACAGATGGAGAACATGAGAAAGTGATTGTCTGTGGCCAGGGAAAGATTTAACCTTAGAAAAGGTCCAAGACAACGTAAGTTACACATCATACACATCACAATTGATTCTGGCATGGAGAAAACCTACAGGTGGGAGGATTGCTGTGAGTTTAAGGCTAGCCTGGCCTAAATAGTGCCAGACTGGGCTTCAGAGAGACCCTGTCTAAAGCAAAACAAAATAGACCTTCTCCCTTAAAAAAAGAGCAAATCCTAAGAAGAAGGGTGAACGCTTGATTTCCAGAGTTACCACATTTTTAGACAAAATGGTACTAGCCCCAAATCAGGTATGTAGACCAATGGAACTGAACAGAAGACCCACGAATAAGCCCTCATAGCTACAGTCACCTAATTTTGGGCAAAAGTAGCAAAAACACAGGGCAGGAAAGGACGGCCCATTCAACAAATGGTTCTGGCAAAATTCAATATCCACCTGTAGGAAGATGAAATTGGATCCATATTTCTCTTAGTTCACAAACATAATTTAAACTGAAACACTGAAACTGCTGGAGGAAAATACAGGTAATGTATTCAAGAGTAGATATAGGAGAGAACTTTCGGAAAACTATACAGGAATTGACAGATGGAATAACATGAAATTAGTTTCTGGGCAGCCAAGGAAGCTGTCAGCAGAGTGAGCAGATAGCCCACAGAATGGGAGAGATATTTTTCAGTTATACTTAGGACAAGGGTTAATATCTAGAATGCACAAAGAATTGCAAAAACTAAGCATGAAAAAAGAACAAAACTGCCCATCGATAAATAGGCCAACAAAGAGTTTTCTGAAGAAGAAACACAAGTGGCAAATACGGTTGTTAAAAAGCGTTCAACATCCTCAGCTATCAGAGAAATGCTATTTTGAGATTCTATCCCCTGCCCCAATCAAGAAAATAAAAAGTAGAAGGGGTTGGAGAGATGGCTCAGCAGCTAAGAGCACTGGCTGCTCTTCCAGAGGACCCAGGTTTGGTTCCCAGCATCCACATGGTGGCCATCTGCAACTCCAGTTCCAAGGGGATCCCACGCCCTCTTCTCTCATACACATACAATGAGAAATAATATATTTGTAAGAAAGAGAATAAAAATTTTAAGCTGCAAGGCGTTGGGGATTTAGCTCAGTGGTAGAGCGCTTGCCTAGCAAGCGCAAGGCCCTGGGTTCGGTCCTCAGCTCCGAGAAAAAAAAATTTTTTTAAACTGCTGACTAAGATGCAGGGGGAAATGACTCTGTAATCTCTGTTAGGGAGAGTGTTGGCTAGCAGAGCTGTTATGGTACTCAATGTGGAAGTTTCCAAAAAAAATAAAAAACAGAACTTCATATGAGCCAGCTATACCACCTCTGGGCATTTACCCCACTGATTCTACCATACCACAGAAATACGTGTACAACCATGCTCACTGCTGTGTTATCCACAATCGAAAAGGAAATGGAATCAGCCTTAATGTCCCTTAACAGATGATATGAATAGAAAATGAAAATGTGAGATATAATATATATATGTATATATATAATGGAATTCTATTCAGCTATAAAGAAAAACAAAACTATGAAATTTTGAGGGAAGTAGATGGATCTGGAAAGTATTATATTAAATAAGGGAACCCAGACTCAGAAAGACAAAAATCTCTCCCTGAAGCCCCAGCTGGCCTGGAACTCACTATGTAGACCAGGCTGGCCTCAATCTCACAAAGATCCACCTGCCTCTGCCTCCTGAGTCCTGGGATTAAAGGTGTGTGCCATCACACCTGGCTCAGAAAGACAAAAATCTTATGTTCTCTCATTTATGTGAATCCTAGTTTATAAAGTCTGTATGTGCATGCATCTCTCTCTGTCTCTCTCTCTCTCTCTGCCTCTCTCTCTCTCTCAGTGCAAGTGTATGCAGATGTAGGCTATGAAACTAGTAAAGAGACCATGAGAAGAGGAAAAGTCTTAAGGGCAGCATGCAGCAGAAAATATGCAACAATATGCAGAAAGGGTTCAGGATGGGAAGGACACAGGGGGCATTAGCAAAAGCAGATTTTTAAAGGCCATAATGAGGGGGCTAGAGAGATGAAAATGGAAGAAAATATTTGTAAGTCGTATATTTGATAAGGGATTAATATTCAGAATATAATCCGTAATATTCAACAACCAAAGAACAAACTGATAAAAGTGGGCAAAGAACTTGAGTAAAAACTTTCCGTGTGTGTGTGTGTGTGTGTGTGTGTGTGTGTGTGTGTATGTGTATCCAGTAAGCACAAAAAAATAATCAAAATTATTAATCCAGGACCGGAGACATGGCTCAGGAGTTAAGAGCACTGACTGCTTTTGCAGAGGGCCTAGGTTCGATTCCCAAAGCCCACATGACAGCCAACGACCATTTATAACTCCACTTCCTGGGGATCCACCACCCTTTTCTGGTCTCCACAAGTATTGCACAACATAGCACACTCATGTATATATGGGCAAAACACTCATACACATAAAAAACAATCAATTTTTAAAAAATTATTAATTATTTTTGAAGTGTGAACCAAAAGCCGCCCGTTAGGACAGCTGGAAGGAGGGGGTAGAAGAAGAACAGAAGGAAGAGAGAAGTGTTGGTAAGGATGTAGAGGAATCGGAATTCTCATGCACTGCTGAGAGTGAACTGTAGAAAGAAATATGGTAATTTCTCACACAATTGACCATAGAATTGTCATATGATCAACTGAAAATATACCCAAATAACTGAAAGCAGGTTCTCAAATAAATATTTTTACCCCTGTGTTCGCAGAATTATTCATAAGAACTAAAACATAGAAGAAGCCTAAGTGTCCATCAACAGAGAAATGGGTACATCAAATCTGGTATATTCATAATAGTTGTTCATAAAAAGGAAAGAAATTCTGGTACATGCTGCAGTACAGATAAACCCTGAGAATATAATGCTAAGCCAGTCATAGGACAAATAATGTATGATGCCATTTTTATGCTGTACTTCATGTAGCTAAAAGTCAGGAGCTGGACAGAAGACAGGATTATTGTTTGATAGGTATAGAGGCTCAGTTTCACAAGATGTGAGCATTCTGGAGATAATAATGGTGGTGTTTGTACAACATTATGAGTATATTTAATAGTAGTGAACTCTATGCCCTTAAAAGTTATTATGATCCATTTGATGCTGTGAATATTTTACCACAGTTACGGAAATATCTCTGTAGTAATTGAATCTAATTATAAGAATGGAAAACCTCCATTCTCCCTATTGAAGACTAAGTTCATTCTGGTAATTGCAGGATATCAGCCAACTGCAGTCTCTCATCTGGAGACTCCTCAACCCTGTCCCGGTGCCCAGTCCTAATCCCAGCAGTGTAGAGTTTCAGGGTTGGAGAGAGGGACATAGGACTGACCTTATCTAAAGTGGTTCCTTGCCTTACCAACAGGCACAGTGGAGGTAAGTAAGTCACCAGGCCCTGGCCTGTAGAGTCACCACGTATTGATGGAGCACTATTAGTAGCAAGTAGTTACAAGTTGTCATTTGTTGCCAATACTAAAATTAGAGTACTAAAGTTTGCGGATTGTATTTTTTAAATATTTTATTTATTATTTTTATTTTATGAGTGTATTGCCTACATGTAGGTAAGTGCACCTTGTCATGCAGTGCCCTCGGAGGACAGAAGAGGCTGTCAGATCTCCTGGAACTGGAGTTATGGACAGTTGTTAGCTGCCATGTGGGTGCTGGGATTTGAACCCGGGTCTGTGCAAGAACAACCAGTGTTCTTAACAGCTGAGCCATCTCTCCAGCCCCCTGCAGATTGTATTTTAATCAACTAGAACAGATTTGATGAAATTACTCTCTCATATTTTTGGCTTGCTCTCCTGAATGGGAGAAGTAGACGTCACTGTATGAGTTAAACATACACTGGGAAAGTGTAGCACCAAAGTGAAGTTCACCCATCTTGTGTGGAGGGGCATTCTACTATATAATGGATGTTGGGCATTTGTATCCAGTTTGCCCCTCAACCACCTATTCCTGCATGAGCTCTACTTCTGCCCATTTCTTCCTACATCTC